GCTGCCCCTGTTCATCCTCCAGGCAGACACCCTCTTCACTCCAATGGGGCTTCATTATGCCACCATGGGGATGGTCCCACATAGAAGCTCAGGGTCCGCCCTCCCCACTATCCACCACACCTAGTTCACTGGAGAGTAACTAATAGCAACAACAAGACACTTCATTGATACAAATTATGATCTATATTCATTAAAAAATTCAAATAATGTGGAAAAATAAATGTAGAAGAAAGTGAAATCACCCCCAGTTCCACCACCCAGAAGTAATTACTCACATAAGTGATGAGCCTTCTAGCTCTCTGTCCTTATGTGCAGAGGGAAAGATATTTTAATAAAATATGTAGAGGGAAAGATTAACATACTTTAATAAAAATGAGACTGTATTATTAGAGATGCTATATTTTGAAATAAAAGATAGTTAACTATGTCATTTAAGTGTAGCTGAAGAAAAAGGGCCTAACCAAAGTTCAAAAGAACTTTTCTTTGCTAAATGAGATACTCATATTGGTCAAAAAAAATTGTGGAGTATGTTAAAAGGTTGGAGTTTTTATTTGCCACTATRAAAAAAAAAAAAAAAAAAGAGAGAGAGAGAGAGAAAGAAAAGTAGAATTCTGCATGCATTATATTCAGTTTAAAGAATAGGAAAGCAAAATCCCTGTGTAACCGGTGCTCAGGTAATGAGACAGGATATTGCAGTGCCCCCAGGTAATGAGATAGGATATTGTAGTGACCCCCTGGGTGGCCCTTCCAGTCATAGCTCCTTCCCTCCCTCCAGGGGTAAGACAGTCCTAACTTCTGCCTTCCTTGCTAAGATTTTACCACCTGTGCACATATCCCTAAGCACTCTAGTTTCATTTTCTCTGTTTTTGAACTTTGCATAAATTAAATTCTCTTCCACTCTGTCCTGACTTGTTTCTTTTCTGACTTATTCATTTATCATTGAGATTCATCCATTGCCCACTCTGGAAATCTGATCCATTTAGGCTTAATGTAAGAAGTTCAGGCTCTGTTGTTTATTAGAAAGATACAATGAAGAAATAAAGGCACCTCTAGGGATGGTGGTAYACTCCTGTAATCCCAGAAGCTCAAGAGGCTGAAATAGGAGCATCAAAAGTTCAATTTAGCAACTTAGTGTGGCCCTAAGCAACTTAGTGAGACCCTGCCTCTGCAAATAAAAAATAAATAAATAAAAAAGGGCTGAGGATGTATCTTAGTAGTAAAGTACCTCTGCGTTCCATCCCCAGTAGCAAAAATAAATTTAAAAATTTTAAAAAAGAGCTGGGTGTGGCCGCATACCTGTAATTCCAGTGGCTCGGGAAGCTGAGGCAGGAGAATTGAGTTCAAAGCCAGCCTCAGCAATTTAGTGAGGCCCCAAGCAACTCAGCAAGACCCTCTTTCTAAATAAAATATAAAAAAGGGCTGGGTATATAGCTCAGTGGTTGAGTGCCACTGGGTTTAATCAATCCCTGGTACCAAAGGAAAAAGAAAGGTACCCGAATGCTCTATTTTTATCTGTTTTATGATAGTCTCCATTTTCTAAACCTTTCTCAGACCCATGTGTCCCTTATCATCCTTTTTACGAATGTCCAGTCCAGACAGCCTCTCTCATTTACACAGCTATAGCAGGTTCTCACTTGGTCTCCTGTCCTCCATTGGTTCTGCTGACTCTAATCCATTCTCCATACTGCATCTGAAATAACTTTTTTTTCGTATTAATAGACRGACAGAATGCCTTTATGTTATTTGTTTATTTTTACATGGGGCTAAGGATCAAACCCAGTGCCTCACACATACTAGGCAAGTGCTCTACCACTGAGCTACAGCCCCAGCCCATGAAATAACTGATTTTTGAAATATTTTATCTCTACATAGAAATAAAAGTGTAATTGTCTTAGAGGTGGTTATCTAACAAACAACTTAAATCTTAATGTCCTATTACACTGAGCATTAGTTTTTGTATGGGTGGATCTATGGGTTGAATAAGATGGTTCTATTCCATAAGGCTGGCCCTGGCCTTTGGGTTGAGTTAGGTCTTTTCCACACATCCCCACATTCTCCTTGGACCAGTGGCTACCTTTTAGGCACTCAAGAGGTCAAGCCAACTGTTAGAACAGCACATTTATTAACATACCATTGCTAAAGTAAGTCGCAGAGTCAAACCCAACATCAGTGGTGCAGAAATGTACTCTGTGCACTCTAGCGTATCACAGGGTCACAAGGTGGAGGGAGGGAGGGAGTGAAGCAATGAGAACGATAACCCACCACAGCTAAAGACGTACTTTCTGTTCTTATGTAGATTGCTAATTTCTGTTTTAAAGTTTTGTTATTGGTTCATTATAGTTGTACATATTAGTGAGATTCATTGTCACATATTCATACATTCATACAACATAATCTGGTCAGTTTCATCTCCCAGAATAATTACTAATTTCTTTATTTGTTCCTTTTGATTTACTTTTCTTATTTGGTTATGAATTCACATAAAAAAATATTATATTAAATCCTGAAGAGGGATATATGTAAAAGCATACAAGCAGTTGAATTTGGTAAGTTGATACACAACTCTCGAGGAATTCTTTGATTTGGAGCAAATCAATTTCATGTGACTTTCCCTTTCCATGTCCAAAGGAGAATATTTCTAAATGTATTTCTTTATTTATTTTGGTACTAGGGATTGAACCCAGGGCCCTTAACCACTGAGCGACATCCCCAGCCCTTTTTTATATTTTATTTAGAGATAGGTCTCACTGATTTATTTAAGGCCTTGCTAAGTTGCTGAGGCTGGCTTTGAACTTGTGTTCTTCTTGCCTCAGCCTCCCAACCTGCTGGGATTACAAGCTTGCACCACGGTGCCCAGCCTAAGCATATCTATTTTTTTTAAATTCTAGTAATATGAGGGAATAACCTATTAGCCAAAAAGCAAGGTACTGAGCTATTCTTCGTTTTCCTTTACTTGTTGTCAGGGTGTCACTTTGGCATTTGTATCTGTATCTGTCCCCTAGCTCTCACGTGGATAATATGCTTTTCCCCACATTTTTTTTTCTTGGTGCATTAGAGTTGCACATAATGATGGGATTTTGTTGTTACACACTCGTCTGAGTACACAATATAGTAATATAATTTGGCCAGTATCACTCCAGCACTTATCCCCACCCTTCCTCTTTTCTACCCCTCCGTCTCTTTCCTCTACTGATCTGCCNATCTAACAAACAACTTAAATCTTAATGTCCTATTACACTGAGCATTAGTTTTTGTATGGGTGGATCTATGGGTTGAATAAGATGGTTCTATTCCATAAGGCTGGCCCTGGCCTTTGGGTTGAGTTAGGTCTTTTCCACACATCCCCACATTCTCCTTGGACCAGTGGCTACCTTTTAGGCACTCAAGAGGTCAAGCCAACTGTTAGAACAGCACATTTATTAACATACCAGAGTCAAACCCAACATCAGTGGTGCAGAAATGTACTCTGTGCACTCTAGCGTATCACAGGGTCACAAGGTGGAGGGAGGGAGGGAGTGAAGCAATGAGAACGATAACCCACCACAGCTAAAGACGTACTTTCTGTTCTTATGTAGATTGCTAATTTCTGTTTTAAAGTTTTGTTATTGGTTCATTATAGTTGTACATATTAGTGAGATTCATTGTCACATATTCATACATTCATACAACATAATCTGGTCAGTTTCATCTCCCAGAATAATTACTAATTTCTTTATTTGTTCCTTTTGATTTACTTTTCTTATTTGGTTATGAATTCACATAAAAAAATATTATATTAAATCCTGAAGAGGGATATATGTAAAAGCATACAAGCAGTTGAATTTGGTAAGTTGATACACAACTCTCGAGGAATTCTTTGATTTGGAGCAAATCAATTTCATGTGACTTTCCCTTTCCATGTCCAAAGGAGAATATTTCTAAATGTATTTCTTTATTTATTTTGGTACTAGGGATTGAACCCAGGGCCCTTAACCACTGAGCGACATCCCCAGCCCTTTTTTATATTTTATTTAGAGATAGGTCTCACTGATTTATTTAAGGCCTTGCTAAGTTGCTGAGGCTGGCTTTGAACTTGTGTTCTTCTTGCCTCAGCCTCCCAACCTGCTGGGATTACAAGCTTGCACCACGGTGCCCAGCCTAAGCATATCTATTTTTTTTAAATTCTAGTAATATGAGGGAATAACCTATTAGCCAAAAAGCAAGGTACTGAGCTATTCTTCGTTTTCCTTTACTTGTTGTCAGGGTGTCACTTTGGCATTTGTATCTGTATCTGTCCCCTAGCTCTCACGTGGATAATATGCTTTTCCCCACATTTTTTTTCTTGGTGCATTAGAGTTGCACATAATGATGGGATTTTGTTGTTACACACTCGTCTGAGTACACAATATAGTAATATAATTTGGCCAGTATCACTCCAGCACTTATCCCCACCCTTCCTCTTTTCTACCCCTCCGTCTCTTTCCTCTACTGATCTGCCTTTGATATCCATGAGGTCTGCCCCCACCTTTCTCTTCCTTTTTCCTCTCTAGCTTCCACATATGAGAGAAAACATAGTCCCTTGACTTTCACTTAACAYGATGGTCTAGTTTCATCTATTTTCCTGCAAATGACATAATTTCATTTTTATTTATGACTTAACAAATCTTCATTGTATATATATATACCACATTTTCTTTATCCATTCATCTGTTGATGGACACCTGGACTGGTTCCATCATAGCTATTGTGAATTATGCTGCTATAAACATGGTATGTGTGTATCATTATAGGGTGATAGCTTTCATTCTTTCAGATAAATACTGAGGCATGGTATAGCTGAATCATGGGGTGGTCCTGTGTCTGGTCTTCTGAGGAACCCCCATACTGATTTCCTTAGTGGTTGAACTAATTTACAATTTCATCAACAGTCAACTGGGTAATAWTATCAGTGTTGTTGCCCTGGAAGAAATTTAACCAAAATATTTTAACAAGAACCTTCATTTTTTTTTCCTCTGCTGTAGGACATAATGATTATATTTGCCCAGCTACGAATCAGTGTACCATAGATAAGAACCGGCGTAAAAGCTGCCAGGCCTGCCGGCTTCGGAAGTGCTATGAAGTAGGAATGGTGAAATGCGGTGAGTGTTCACTTGCCTTTTGTTGTATGGAGCCATGCCGAAAACTGTGTCTTTCGAGGAACTAGAGGGCACATAACCTGGATAAGAGATTTAGGACATAGTGATCATCTTCAAGTGTTTGTCACACCGTATTGACCAGTTCCCTATAGCTGCAGATGTCAGAGCTGGGATGAGTGTGATCAAACTGCCAGAGGCAGATTTTGGCCCCAATGCGCAAGAACTTGCAAAGTTCMTGTGGGTCTAGCAACAGAATAGGCCACTGCATGGGCTAGGGAACTTCTAGCCACTGAAATGTTTAAATAGGCTGGATGGCCACCTTCCTGAGACCCTGAAAAGTCCCATTCCAAGAATAACATCCTGATTTAAATGTCCACAGTGGAAACTTATGACAAGAAAGTAGAATATCTTGTGGGTTATTTGGGTAGCTATGGAGAAGTGTCTTGCTTCCTTCTACTAGCTTTCTAGAAGTGGAAAAAATACATACAGGAGTCAGATTTTGTTCTATGAYGGTATGTATGTGTGTTTATATATGTATGCATAACATGTAGTAAACTATATAGTATATAGTGTATGTAATRTATAGTATATATACATGATATGTGTGTATACATGCTATACATACACATGTTAAAAAAAGAAGAGCAYTTTAGTATAACAAGTCACAAAGATGCCTACTCCTGCTCTCTCCACCTGGATAGCTTTTAATTTACTTGTCTGTATACACTTTTTTTTTGTGTGTGTGTGTGTGATGGTGGTGAGGATTGAATCTAGGGCTTTGAGCTTGCTAGGCAAGCATTTTTCCACTGAACTACATCCCTAGCCTGTTTATTTTTATCTTTATTTTTATTTTGAAACACTAAGCTCACTAAGTTGCCTAGGCTGGCTTTGAACTTGCAGCCTCCTTCCTCAGTCCCCTCAGTAGCTGGGATTATAGGCATGCACCATCATACCCAGTCATGCTTATTGTTTATATATATTTCATATCAGCTCTGCCTGTGCTTTTCTTATTCTTTTGCTAGCCTACATTTTGCCTGGAATTTGTTGTAACTTCTTTCTTGGTAACTAATTATTTGAAAAAATTAAAATGAGCATCTTTCTCTTTTTCTCCCTGATCATCTTTTGGTAGCTCTGCTTTTTAAACATTCTCTGGTTCTTTTCTTTTTCTCTGTATGTACAATAGATTAGAACCCTCACCTAATTCACAAGTACAGCAGAACTCTCTTAATTTGATCACACTTCTTGGGCTTTTGTTTCTGAGAAAGTTTACTTGAAAGCTTTGAACAAAACTGTAAAGGACTAATAGCTAAGAAGGGGGAGAAATCACAAACTTAGGAATGTCTAAGTTGTTGCCCTAGTTCCCTCCCCCCACTCCGCCCCACCCTTGGGTAYCAGGGATTGAACTCAGGGGCACTCAACCACTGAGCCACGTCCTCAGCCCCATTTTTAATTTTATTTAGAGACAGGGTATCACTGAGTTGCTTAGCACCTTGCAGTTACTTTGAACTTGTGATCCTCCTGCCTTAGCCTCCCAAGCCTCTGGGATGATAGGCGTGCGCCACTGCACCCAGCCATGTTGCTCTGTTTTAAAAATGCTGCCACTGGGTGCTGGGGTTGTGGCTCAGTGGTAGAGCGCTTGTCTAGCATGTGTGAGGCATTGAGTTCGATTCTTAGCACTGCATGTAAATAAATAAAATAAAGGTCCATTGACAACTAAAAAATATTTTTCAAAAATACTGCAACTGGAAATCCAGAGATGACATATGGGTGTAGTCCATGCAGAAAGGTGGTTTTTCCAGGTGTCAGAGATGAAAAAGAGAAAGCCTTCGGCCCTTTGACAAAAAAAAAAAAAAATTACAAAGAAAAGGTCTTTATTTTTAAGTTAGACAATATTTTAAGGTGAGTGTGGTGTGTGTGTTTTTAAAAAACAATGGTTTTCAGTTTAGTCTTAGGTCAAGGGCACATTGTGTACTAGGATCTGTTGGACAGCTCTAGGCCTCAGGGTTCAAGGCAGCACCCACAGTAGGAAGAGCATGAGGGTTGGACTCCTATCTATGGACTGAGTGTCATTTTGTTTCTTTTCTTTTTTTTTTTTAAAGAGAGAGTGAGACACACACACACACACACACACACACACACACAGAATTTTTTAATATTTACTTTTTAGTTCTCAGCGGACACAACATCTTTGTTGGTATGTGGTGCTGAGGATCGAACCYGGGCCGCACGCATGCCAGGCGAGYGCGCTACCGCTTGAGCCACATCCCCAGCCCCTCATTTTGTTTCTTTACTTTTGGCCTCTCTCCAGATGCCCTTCTTGTCTGTCCTTCCCCCAAACCTTCTACCCACATTTTACCTTCTATTCAGTCTTGGAGGATTGGTAGTCTCCCTACATTCTGGATCCTCCTGCACCATCTACATTCCCTCTTTAGTCATAAATCATGTCTCTGTGACTAATTTTTTCTTCTTTACCTCTGATCTTTTCTTTCCTACTGATGTGTTGATATAGTTATTTAACATAGGAGGACAGCTGCCTAGACGGACATCAGAGATAGGCCTCTTTACAAGGATATGTTTCCATGTAACTATCCAGGAAAACAATCTCAATAGCCACATATTTAGTCTGTATCCCTGTGTTGGGACAACAGCTCAGCGTCTTTCGAGTGTCATCTCTTTACTCACCTGATGTATATACTTTCAAAAAATGGATTTGGTAGGTAGTTGGTATAAAATAAGAGTTAAACAATAAGACAATAGTTACAAGCACAAGCTCTGGATTCATATGATTGGTTGGATTTAGATCCTGCTCCTGCTAGTTTCTAGCTTTCCTAACTTGGTCAATTTTTTTTGAGCTGCCTTGTGTCTGGCTCCTCCTCTCTGTATTGAAGATATTAATAGCACCTGTCCTTGTAGGGTGACTGTCAGCACAAGATAGATAATCTGTGTACGATACACAGTATCTGGTATGTAGAAGCTTCTGGTTGATGTTAGCTGCCATTATATCATTTATTACCCTCACCATCCATCCTCTTTGGGCTGGGACTATTTACTACACCCTATTTGTTAGTTTGTCATTAAGCTCACGGAGAGGCAGCTGCCTAGGTTGTAGTGTCAAAGTCATAGCATTAGAAATGTCCTCATAGAAAATATGAATTCCTTCACAAGGGCTTTGTTTTATGGAACCTGAAATTTCCAGAACTCACTACAGGGCCTGGAACATAAGACTTGAAAGTCTTTCACATGGGGAAGGCACATCTCTTTTGTATACTCCTTATCCTCACACAGGGTACAAAAGAGAAATGTGTGATTAGAGAAGTGCTTTGTAAGCCATACATTTTATTCCATGTTAGTCTGGAGTAAAATTGAACTTAAATATTTATAACACTCTAATTGCTAATAAAATGAAATATGTCTTAAGCCAGGTATGGTGGCTCATAGCTGTGATTCCAGTGACTTGGGGGCTAAGACAGGAGGATCACAAGTTCAAAGCCAGCCTCAGCAATTTAGTAAGACCCTAAATAACTCAGTGAGACCCTGCTCAAAATAAAATTTTAAAAAGGTCTGGGGATGTGGCCCGTGGTTAAGCGCCCCTGGATTCACTGCCCAGTACCAAAAAAAAAGAAAAAAAAAAAGAAAACAAAGGAAAAAAAAAGAAATGTATTTTAAACTTTTAATTCTTTTGGTAACAAATTTGATTCAACTCTTCCTGAGTGGATAGAGCCCTTCCTTTTACTATAATTAGCTAAGACTAAATTTCCTTGGGAGACATTAGTTTATATTTTCTCATRCCTTCTAGTTAATTAATTAATTTATTTTTGTACCAAGGATTGAACCCAGGGGGCAGTTGAGTACTGAGCCACACCTCCAGCCCGTTTTATTTTTTTAAGACAGGGTCTCACTAAGTTGCTGAGGCTGGCTTTGAACTTGTGATCCTCCTGCTTCAGCCTCCCSAGTTGCTGGGATTCCAGGCATGCACCACTGTACCTGGCTCTAGCTAATTTATTTCATTGCTAATTTTATCTTTATTTTAACATCATCAAAAATGATCTGACATCAATTTTAATTAAGATTTTCTTTATGACCTGATATGTGAAAATTTTTATAAATATTTATGGTCTGTGTATATTAAGCTTGTCRGTTGTGCGGTTGACATGTTCAGCATTCTCACTTTTCTCTCAACTGTTTGCTCCATCAGTTGCTGAGGGAGATTACATTACTATATCCTATAATAATAGAATATTTGTCAATTTCTTTCTTTTATAATCACTTTTTTWAAATATATTTTTTTAGTTGTAGTTGTAGATGGATACAATACCTTAATTTTATTTATTTATTTATTTTTTATGTGGTGCTGAGGATCACACCCAGCACCTCGCATGTGCTAAGTGAATGCTCTACTGCTGAACCACAACCCCAGTCCATTCATTGTATTTTTTTAATATTTTTTTTTTATTTGTAGGTGGACATATACCTTTATTTTATTCATTTATTTATTTTTTTATATGGTGCTGGGGATTGAACCCACTGCCTCATGCAGGCTAGCAAAGCGCTCTACCACTGAGCCACAACCCTGGCCCCTCTTCCATTGTATTCTSATTTAAAAACCCACATTAATAAAACATTTTGGTACTAACACAGGAATAGAAAAGTAGATCTCTAAAACTGAATAGAGAAAAGATAATTTTATATGTAATTATTTATTAATGAAAAGACGTTTCACATCAGTGGTGAAGTCTTATTCAATAATTACTATTGGGAAAATTGTACATCCATTTGAAAAATATAACATGAAAATAAATATATCATATAATATCATGATATAATATAATGCATATAATATAGGTATGCATAAAATTCCAAATAAATTTGAATCACACATTGTTCAAGAAGACAAAGGAAAATATATAAAATATTGATATAAAGTAAAAAGATTTGATTCTGCATTAAAGCTTCTTATGACAAATGACACCATGAGCAAAATTAAAAGACATATATCAAGTAAGATAGCCAGGTATGGTGATGCATGCCTGTAATTCTAGCAACTGTGGAAGCTGAGGCAGGAGGATTGCAAGTTTGAGGCCAACTTTGGCAACTTAGCAACACCCTGCCTCAAAATAAAAATTAAAAAGGAGGAGCTGGGATTGTGGCTCAGCGGTAGAGCATTTGCCTAGCATGTGCAAGGCCCTGGATTCGAGCCTCAGCACCACATAAAAATAAAGAAACAAAATACAAATGTTGTGTCAAACTACAACTAAAAAATAAATATTAAAATAAAAATTAAAAAGGGGTAGAGGTGTAGCTCAGTGGTAGAGCACTCCTGGGTTCAATTCCCAGTACCACAAAGAAAAAAAACAATTAAAAAAAAGCAAATAAGGGCTGGGGTGGTGGCTCGCCTAGCATGCATGAGGCACTGGGTTCGATCCTTGGCACCACATAAAAGCAAACTAATGTATCCACCTTAAAAAAAAAAAAAAAACTAAAGATACATAAATAAATAAGTATTTTTTAAAAAAGCAAATAAGATGAATGTTGCATCTAACAAAGTTATCTATCAATACTATACAAAGAGCCTTTGTAGGTTTTAGGGAAGAAAGGGGCAAAATGCACAAATAGGCAATTAATAAGTAAAGAAATACAAAGGACAAACATATTAGTTAACCTTACTAGTAATTTTAAAGATAAAAAGTAAGGCAAGACTGTTTAGCCCAGCCTTATAATAGCAAATATTAAAAATGTTAGTCCTTATAAAGCAAATATTAAAAATGGTTTTTAGGGGCTGGGTTTGTGGCTCAGTGGTAGAGCACTCTCCTTGCATATGCAAGGCCCTGGGTTTGATCCTCAGCACCACATATAAATAAATAAATAAAATAAAGGTATTGTTTCAACTACAACTAAAAAATATTTATTAAAAAATGGTTTTTAATGCTCAATGGTATTATGTGAGAATAGGTGGTCCTTAAACTACTAGATTATAATTTTTGAAACACTTTTGGGGAGTAATCTGTGAATGTGTATCAAAATTTTAAATATATGTATGCCTTGGTTCAACAATTTGATTTCTTTGAATTTATTATAAGGAAGTAATTTGATACATATACAAAAATGTATGTTTATTATAATATTTAAACTAATAGAAAAATTGTAGCAAATTAGATTTACTTTAGCATGGGACTCTAAATAAATGATGCTATACTAATAGAACAGAATGCTATGTGCATTTTTAATTGTCATATGACATTTTTATTTATTTATTCATTTATTTATTTGGTGCTGGGAATGGAACCCAGAGCCTTGTGCATGCAAGGAAAGCATTCTACCAACTGAGCTATATCCACAGCCCTTCATATGACATTTTTAATGAAAAGAGAAAAAGAAGGTTATGAAATAGTATCTATGCCATGATTCTAATTTGGTTTATAAAATATGAAAATGTATAAAAGCATAAAAAGCTGAAAGTATTTATGTCCAAAGTCATTCTCTTCTCTATTTTCCAGATTCTTTTCAATTAATTTATTTGAAGTATACTTGTTTGTGTAAGTTTGTGACAAGAACACGTGTTACACATATGTGTATATGTGCATACAGATATGCATACATACCTGTGTATGTATATATCTGTATATTTAAAATATATCATAAAGTGTATTATCAATGTTGAAGTCCTAACTTTTCCCTATTTTCTACCTGAGGAAAATTCTTCATTTTGTAATTTGGAAACTGAGACATGTCCTCATGCTTTAAAAGAGAAATGGATTTAGTATCCACAGATGACCTTCAAATGGAGATTTAATATGCCTAAAATGTCAAGTTTTTGATTTTGTTATACAGTCACAACTATAGTATTCTTCAGTCCAGGCCCCAAGGCTCCAGAAAAGAAGTTGACCTTCTGTTCTCAGACGCTTTCTGAGAATAGACTCTGGTTCTTCCGTGATATCATGGCTGTGTTTTTTCCCTGGCCATCAGGATCTAGCCTCTGGATCAGAGCAAACACTGTATGGCCATCTGATCTCCCCTTCAGGCTCCCGGAGAGAAAGGTGCGGGTATCACGTGGTGAAACGACAGAGAAGTTCCAGCGAGCAGCTGCACTGCCTGAGTAAAGCCAAGAAAACCAGTGGGCACCTGCCAAGAGCCAAGGAGCTGCTGCTGAGTGCCCTGAGCCCCGAGCAGCTGGTGCTCACCCTCCTTGAGGCAGAGCCACCCAACGTGCTGGTGAGCCGCCCCAGCACACCCTTCACAGAGGTCTCCATGATGATGTCCCTCACCAAGCTGGCCGACAAGGAACTGGTGCACATGATCGGCTGGGCCAAGAAAATTCCTGGTAGGGCTCTCTGAGTTTTAGCATTTCATTTATTTCTAGAAAGGACTGCTCCCAATATTTTTGGGTTCAGAGTACAGAGTGGATGTCCAGGACTTTGTCTAGATATTTAACAATTTGACATCTTAATTTATAACTTAAAATGTGTTCTTTTCTCCTATGTTGAAAACATAGCTTCCACATTTCCTGGAAGGCAGTGTGGTTTAGAAGTCTTGGACTTCTCAGTTCCTCTCTACCTGACATGTTGGTACAGAAGGAGTCGTGCCTGGCCTGTTTCTGTTCCTGACTCCCTTCTTTTCCCTACTCCCTGAGTCCTTCCTTGCACGCATCCCATCCTCTCTGTACACATCTCCAAAAGACACTGCCTGTTGACTGCCTCTCATTCCTACATGTGGTCAGGGAGAACAGTCTCAGGAAAGAGACACACCTGGGTTCTGAAATTGAACTTGGGACCATTTGGGCAAGAAAGTCCAGGATTTGGAACCTGGAACATAGTTAAAAGGTAGGTATATGACCTTCACATTGACTGGGTCTGTTGGCTGTGAACTTCTCACCTTGAGCAGGTTGGGGTGGAGTAGGGTACAGTATGATCAGCCTGAAAATGAAAAGTTTGTCAGATCCTAAATAGGAAGTTTTAAAATATTTTTTCCAATCAAGGAAATATCAGTTATGTACATAAGATACAAAGATTAATAGAGTAAACCAGCAGTTGAGGTAACATGCATCAAAAGACCAATAAACCTGGCATGCTGTCAAGTCAAAAGCTAGCTTAACTGTTTTTGAGTTGTCATTTAGAACCTACATTTTTCCATCCTATAAAGTAAACTTTCCATCCTATAAAGTAAACCAGACCTATTTATAGTATATATAGACAGTCCGTGATTTAAGATGGGACTTATAATTTTTTAACTTTATGATGGTGTGAAAGTGTACCCATACAACCATTCTGKTTTTCTCCTGTGGTTCAAAATTCAATCATGAGCTATTCAGCATTTTATTATAAAATGGGATTTGTGTTATCCAACTGTAGGCTAATATAAGTGTTCTGAGCATGTTTGTATCCAACTGTAGGCTAATATAAGTGTTCTGAGCATGTTTGAGTAGGCTAGACTGAGTTATGATGTTTGGTAAGTTGAATTTAATACGTGCTTTTTTTTTTTTTTAAGATAGGGTCTTGCTCTTGTCCAAGAGAGCCTCAAGTGACACTCCTGCCTTAGCCTCCCTAGTAGCTGACACTACAAATGTGCGCCGTAGTACCTGGCTCTACATGCATTTCTCTTTTTTTTTTTTTTGAGGGGAGGGGTACTGGGGATTGAACCCAGGGGCACTCAACCATTAAACCACATCCCCAGCCCTATTTTGTATTTTTTAAATATATTTTTTAGTTGTAGATGGGCACAATACATTTATTTTACTTATTTATTTTTATGTGGTGCTGAGGATCGAACCAGTGCCTCACACATGCTAGGTGGGCACTCTACCACTGAGCCACAACCCCAGCCTCTTATTTTGTATTTTATTTAAAGACAGGATCTCACTGAGTTGCTTAGTGCCTCACTTTTGCTGAGGCTGGCTTTGAACTCACAATCCTCCTTCCTCATCCTCCCTTCCTGCTGGTATTACAGGTGAGTGCCACCATGCCAGGTCTTGCAATTTTTGACTTAAAATATTTTCAGCTTACTGTGGTTTATCTGGATGTAACCCCATTGTAAGCTGAGGAGCATCTGTACCTAAAGTACTATATTGTGCTAAAATTACTAATTAGCATCTGAACTAGTGTTTCTATGGAGGAGTGAATTTAGGATTCTAACCTTGTACGGCTGCAACACATCATCCTCTGAAAAGACATCTCCATCTACTTCTTTACAGTGGCCTAAGAAATGAGGTCTCTCTCCAGGCTCTAAACCCCTGGCTTCAGAGGCAACAACTGCATTAGGCAAACTGTAAATATTAGGGGGGGGTGAGAAGCTAGGTGAAGAAATGTTGGGGATAGAGAGCTGTGGGATCCAAGACCCTGTCTCTTGTGGTCCTTTGTGGGCCTGGGCTCATTCCTTCTGAGTTTTCTGAGGGTTTTCTGGTGTCTGGCTTTGTTTTGTTTTGTCTAGCATCTTCACCTTTGCCAGAATGATTTCATTTTCTCTGCTGTTTCCCACAGGAGATGCACTTTCCTTCAGTTTTTGCTTTGAATGCATAACACTATTTTGCAGGATCCCACATGGAGAGTAGTGGTGAAATTATTGCTAAAAACTCTGCAGTTTTTCTTGGTACTCTAACAAAAGTGAACTTTTAAGCCATATTAGTCCTCTTTCAAGTGTGGTGTTTTGAAAGTTTTGCAGAAAATTTAGGTATAGGCTTAAGGTGTGATTTTTCTCTCCCTGCAGTTGACATAGTCATTAGCCAAACCAAAATGATATTAAAATATCATCTAGCCTCAATCTTGTCAGATATCTATAAAAATAAAAATCTTCATCTCTCTTGGGTAGGTTTAGTGTTTATAACTGAGTGGAATTGGAATGTATGAACATCAGAGGGACCTTACCTGGGCTATGTGTGTGTCTATGGAAGGGATTTGTCCATCTTTACATTCATTACTCCATTGAACTCTCCTTTGTGCAGATTCACAATGTAATTGCTCAAAGATTTGAATCATGTGTGTGGTCTTGGTGCTGCAGTTTCCTCATTGGTAAAATGAGTAGGTTAAGTGATTGTACCTATAGGAGGGTTTCGGAGGAAGGCAAGAGTGCCCCCATGTTTCCTATAGAAAATAGTCTTAAGGGAGATTAAATAACTAGCTAGGAGGGGACTGAGCTAATGTTCAAACTGAAGTTCATTCTATGCCAAGACTTTGCCTTTGGTTACCCTGCCTGCTCTTTTTATCATAGCATATAAAGGAAGCTCCAGTGTTCTCTACTTTGCTTTAAAAGCACTCGGTTCCTTACGGATTTCTGTTTCTTTCCAGTTCTGTGACCAATGCATGCTATTAGGCCGTCAGGACCTGCTTCAGTTGTAGTATTTGCTCTTTAGGATGCATTCACCTAGAATGAGTGTTCCTACTCAGAAGAATGATCCTAACTCTAGAGAGGAAATTTGAAGCAATCAGAGGAACCATTTCAGTTGAAGCCTTGACTTTCAGCAGAGGCTGGCACTGCTCCCTGCATGGCCCTCACCCCCAACCTCCACCTACCCTTTCTGCCCACCCTTTTAGTCCCAGTCATGGCTTGGGTCAGACAAGTAGTCCCTCTGACTGGCAGCTGAGCTTTATCTTTCTCAATAGTCACAGGAGTTATTAAGACAGTTTTGCTAACAAGGATCAGTTCTGGCTTCCTGTTTTCCTTAAGCATCTGCCCAGGGAGCCAAGTAGCCTTGGTAACAGTTCTTTATAAATATTAAGTGAAGCCCACTGTGGTGGTGCACACCTGTAATCCCAGTGACGCAGGAGGCTAAGGCTGGAGGATCACCAAGTTCAAGGCCAGCCTGAGCAACTTAGCAAGACCCTGCATCAAAACAAAAAATAAAAAGAGCTGGTAGAGCACTGGGTTCAATCCCTGGAACTGAGGGAAATATAAATACATACATACATACACACATACACACATAAATAAATACTAAATGAAATTTATCTCTAGAAAAGGTTCAAGACTGGAAACTGCAAGTTACACACCTTAAATTCAAAACTTTCTTCCTTTAAACAACATTGAATCACATCTTATATTTATTATTTCCCTATGTTGTTTTTTTCTCTTATTTTTTTTATTGGTTGTTCAAAACATTACAAAGCTCTTGACATATCAGAATCACATCGGTTACACATCCACATTTTACATGATGCCATATTAGTAACTGTTGTATTCTGTTATCTTTCCTATCCTCTACTATCCCCCCTCCCCTCCCCTCCCATCTTCTCTCTCTACCCCATCTGCTGTAATTCATTTATCTCCTTGTTTATTTTCCCATTCCCCTCACAACCTCTTATATGTAATTTTGTATAATAATGAGGGTCTCCCTCCATTTCCATGCAATTTCCCTTTTCTCTCCCTTTCCCTCCCACCTCTCGTCCCCGTTTCTTTTCCTCCTGCTCTTCCTCCCTTCTCTGTTCTTAGTTGCTCTCATTATATCAAAGAAGACATTTGGCATTTGTTTTTTAGGGATTGGCTAGCTTCACTTAGCATAATCTGCTCTAGTGCCATCCATTTCCCTGCAAATTCCATGATTTTGTCATTTTTTAGTGCTGCGTAATACTCCATGGTGTATAAATGCCACATTTTTTTTATCCATTCATCTATTGAAGGGCATCTGGGTTGGTTCCACAGTCTAGCTATTGTGAATTGTGCTGCTATGAACATCGATGTGGCAGTATCCCTGTAGTACGCTCTTTTAAGGTCTTCAGGGAATAGTCCGAGAAGGGCAATAGCTGGGTCAAATGGTGGTTGCATTCCCAGCTTTCCCAGGATGTGTTCCTAAGCCTTTAAAAACTTGCTATTCTGACTTCACAGAACAGGTTGGAAGAGGAGGGTGGGTGTGTCTCACGGCCTCTTCTTTTCCCTAGGCTTCGTGGAGCTCAGCCTGTTGGACCAAGTGCGGCTCTTGGAGAGCTGCTGGATGGAGGTGTTGATGGTGGGACTGATGTGGCGCTCCATTGACCACCCTGGCAAGCTCATCTTCGCCCCAGACCTCGTTCTGGACAGGTGAGGAACACGTACTGTGCTTCTTCTCAGACTCGTTTTGGGTGAGGCCACTTAGTGAGTGGAAACAAAGTCCTAGGTGCAGTAATTAAAATCTCATACCTGAAAGGGTAATTAGAGGATGATAATGTCATCGGCTCCTTCACTGGGTCAAGAACCCAAGAAAAAGAAAGCTGTCCCTTGCCTCCTTGCTAATCTGCGGTGCAGCTGCATTCAAAGGCCGGGGTCACAACAAGGGACTGTACCCTGCAGGAAATATGGCCACTAAGTGTGCAGGTCAATGTAAATTTTTCTGCATTAAAAATTCTATTTTAGTGGTGTGCAGTGGTGCATGCCTATAACCCCAGTGGCTTAGGAAGCTGAGGCAAGGAGGATCATGAGTTCAAAGCCAGTCTCGGCAATTTCGTGAGACCCTATCTCAAAATAAAACATAAAAAGGGCTGGGGATATGGCTCAGTGGTTAAGTACCCCTGGGTTCAATCCCTGGTACAAAAAAAAAGTCTTTTTTCAGGTTATAATCTTAAATTGTTCTATCTTGTCCACCTCTAGTGAGCAATTACATCTCCAACTATCTATACAGGTGATAAATTTCTTATGAATTTATTTTCATATGCTTTAACTCACTCTAAAGCATGTGCTATAACAGTGTTTTTGGAAATATTGCTGAAAGGAATAGTTATTAAAACCAGATGAAGGGGCTGGGGATGTGGCTCAAGCGGTAGCGTGCTTGCCTGGCATGCATGCGGCCTGGGTTCGATCCTCAGCACCACATACAAAGATGTTGTGTCCGCCGAAAACTAAAAAATAAATATAAAAAAAAAAAAACAGATGAAGGTTTATATAAGTTGGGATATGATATTGCTAATGTCATAACTTGGTTACTTAGCTTTTTAAAAATGATGGCGCAGAAAAGGAACCAATTTTTAATTGATTTAATAGAGCTGTTTATGGAGGGAAAGCTGGAATATACAACCACATTAAAGATTTCTGCAGAAAAAAATAGAAAACTTTAATATGTATATATATATATATAAAACTTTAAAATAAATATATATATATACATATAAACTTTAATATATACATATAAACTTAAAAAATATATGTATATATATATGTATATATATATATATATATATATATATACATACACATAAAGGTCAATAGACCCTTATTTATGTATTTATTTATTTATCTATTTATATGCACTGCTCAGTCTCCAACCCAGTGCCTCACACATGCTAGGCAAGTGCTCTACCACGGAGCCACAACCCCAGCCCTAATAGAAAACTTTCGGTGTACATTTGAACAGTTTGAAAATCTCCACAGGAATTGATTTCCACTTCCCCTTATGTTGAAAAAGTGCCATGTTGACTCTGCACAGAGTGGGAGGATGCCTAGTGCTAAGAACAGAAAGTACCTGCCCCAACTCTTGCATCATAATCCTGTTACCACTTTAGGTCATCAGAAGACCCTCATTCGCACGTTTGGCAGATGAAGAGCGGTGCCCCAAGGTATCAGCATCTATTCATGGATGACATTGACAAAGAGCACTGTTCTGAGTAATGAAGGTGTTTTGGTGGAGAACAAAGCCTGTGGGAAGAACTGGCGCATGGGATGTGGCTTGAGCAGGAGCAAGCCCTGGTGGTGAACCATAGAGGGAAGCTCTGGAAGCCCAGAGCAGTGTGGAGCCTGAGAGCCTTCAGTAACAATCAAAATAGCTCACTTAATGGCTTGTATGTGCCAGGCACCATCGTAAGCACTTGTTTAATCTTCACAACAGCCCTTTGTGGGTAAGCACCATCAGAATCCCTATCGGAAATGGAAGGTTTAGTGACGTTGCTTCAGTTATACAAAAGTAAGTGGTAGAGCTGGATTTGGGGACCTGTCTGTGGAATCCACACTCTTAGTGACATCGGTTCATTGCCTCTCGGCAAGAGAGAACTGGAAGGGGAAGGAGGAGGCCAAAAGGCTGCCTTGCTTTCTACTTTATTCTTTTGGCTTAGAATAACACTATTTTATTTCTGCCTACTTCAGAAACTCACTCTTCCTGCTGTCATCTCAGGGTACCGTGCTACAAGGCAGGTCAAAAAGCCAAGCCCCCAGCCAAGGCATGCATTCATTATGTTCCACTCATGACTTAAATAAAGACACATACACTCCCCGACAAACCTACTTGTACATATAATATACACATACAGTTCTCCTAGAAGTTAGTGCTAGTGAGATGTTCTGTCCCTTGATAATCCAGTAGATTTGCAGATATTGAAATTATTTTACTTTTTGTCTTGTAGCATTAATTTTCAGTGACTATATCATTCCTGGATTTCAGTGCAATTAACTTGCTTCTTTATATGGGTTCTTTAATTCCTGTAAGTAAATGTGAAAATTTCTATAAATGGAAACCAATCCTGGATAAATATTGTGCTTACATTGTACTTAGATAATAGAAGAAGAAAGTTATTTTTAATATATTCACATTACTCCTTATAAATATTTGAAAGTCTTATGTTTCATAACATATAAATTTAGTATATCTCATTAAGTATAAAAAGGAGGTCTAGGGAATTGTAAATGCTTTCACATTGAGGAGGCATTGTTTTGAGCGCCTCCTCATGTTTACTTTTTGTTGTTATCCCTAATATTATTTWWAAAAAAWTTTTTTTTGTAGTTTAGGTGGACAGAATGCCTTTATTTTATTTGTTTATTTTTATGTGGTGCTGAGGATGGAACCCAGTGCTTCACGCATGCTAGACAAGTGTTCTGCCACTGAGCTACAGCCCCAGCACCCTAGTATTATTTTTGACACATTAGCTTTTTGGAATCTAGAATTTCAAGTTTAAGATAGTTCAGTTACTCAGCTCATCTCTTATATAGATAATATAGTTTTGTTTCTGGGGGAGTTGCCTAATCAAAATCAGGGATCATACTCTATAAAGGAGTTCCATTATGAATCTTTTTTTTTTTTGCTAAGTAAATAAATAACCCTCACACTATTTGAAAATTTGCTATCTGTTGCTAAATTTCCCTGCCAGAATTTCTTCAAGTAATGATATGACCTTTATTCATGTTGAGGCTTTTAAAGCAAGAAAACTTGAACCTACTGAGGATGAGAGGAAAATCTGGTTATCTCAGCCGATTTCCAAAAAGGTAGTTCTTTTAGTAACCACTAAAATCATAAATTCATTTCATGATCTACTACAGAACCTGAGCTGCTGCTTGCTAAAAAAATCATACATGACATTTTTATATCCTTAGCATCAATAAGAAACTGTTAATGTTAAATGCTTTTTAAAGATCAGAGGAAGCTGGGTGCCGTGGTGTGCACTTGTAATCCCAGCAACTCAGGAAGTCACAAGTTCCTGAGTGGAGGAACAGGAGGCTAGCCTTAGTAACTTATGGAGGTCCTCAGCATCTTAGTGAGACACTGTTTCAAAATAAACAATAACTACAAAGGGCTGAGGATGTAACTCAGTGGTAAAATGTGTCTGGGTTCTATCTCTAGTACCAAAAAACAAAAACAAAAACAAAAAACCAAATGCCATAAGAGGAAGTTTGAGTGTATATTTGCATTAATTATTTCTATATTGAATTTTCTTCAAGGTAGCTATAATATTTTCACTTCAGAATTTAATTTACCCTTGGTATCCAAATGTTGAACCCTTGTTAAGGATAAGCACATGGAAAGGACTTACCTGGGTCTGCCCACCCTATATCCAATGGCCATACACAGGAGGTAAATTCTGGTCTGTAACCATGTGTGCAGCCAGCAGATACATATGTTAGTACTAAAGAATAGCCCCAAAGTAGGGCCCACTCATTGAACATTTGTCATTGTATTAAACAGGATGTCTTTCTTTTATAAAAGAAGATTATCAAGCAATAGACTATTCCACATGTAATTAGTAATTTTATTTGGCACTGGTTTATGGACAAATGGTGGGCAAATGTGTACTTCCATGAGTAAGTAGATTTGATTGAAATACAATTTCAATATTTTAACCTTCAGTCCGTATGTTCTCTATCTTTAATTCAAATCTTATTATCTTGTCCTAGTTTTTTTGCTTATAATTCAGTTTTAATCCATAATTACAAAATAAATGAAATAGACCTCATCAATTTAAATCCTCCACTTTTCTGTATAACTCAATTGAAAGTAGAATTTTATGAGGTTGTCATTTATGAGGTATTGTTTGTTATTGCCCCTATATTTCTCATTTATTTTCTAAAAATATATTTGGTTTCTACAGTCTGTGAAGTGAATAAAATATTCTAACTTTGCCAGCCCTTGAATGAAATGGTTATCTGTCATATCTGCCAAAAAGAAAGCAGTCAAACCTGGTTCTTTAGGATTTCTTTCAAGTGAATTTCACAAAAATTCACTTTTCCCATGAAGTACGCATGCTCTGATTACTCTAAGTTGCAGAATGTATCTGTATGTAAACTCTCTCCGCATTTTGAAATACGAATATTCGTTAAAAATGGCATGCATTTGGGGCTAGAGTTGTGGTTCAGTAGTAGAGCGCTTGCCAAGTCTGTGTAAGGCACTGGTTTGATCCTCAGCATCAAGTAAAGAATAAATTTAAAAAAGGTATTGTGTTCACCTACAACTTAAAAAAATATGGCATGCATTTAGTGAGGGAATGGTACCAATCTCAATATTTAGTGGCAGGTCTTAGGCACAGGTGACAACTTCTAAAAAACAGGGTTGAGTTCAGATGAGTGTCTGCTATACCATTATGACTTCTGAACCTCACAGAAGGGTAAAGGGTCAAATTATTAAAATTAGTTTTTTTGTTACAAATGGATTCAATATTTTTATTTTACTTATTTATTTTTATGTGGTGCTGAGGATTTAACCCAGTACCCCACACATGCTAGGCAAGTGCTCACTGCTGAGCTACAGCCCAGCTCCCAAAGTCAAACTTTTAAAGTATAAGTGCAAGGGTTGTTGGGTATTTTTTGTTTTGGCTCTTAAGTGCAAAATCAGCTTCTCTGAACCAAATGTCCTCAAGCTCAACAGTTGCAATTTCTAAGAATTAGTTGTCTCAAGCAGAGTGACTTGATGTGGCACAAGGGATGTTTCTTGTGTACCTGCTAAGTGCAGAGCCTTTGTTGTCCCTACTGGAACCCAGAACTGAGGAGGTGGTCAGGGGAGGTAGGAAGAAGGGGTGTGGGGAGGGTGGGGGGTTTCTCACAGATTTTGGCATTCCTTCCAAAGTGCTCTGATTCTCCTAGATAAATGTCTTTCCCTGTAAGTGACTTCTAGGGGGCACTAGTGTTTTGTCACTTAACCTGTGTATTTTCAGAAAGCTGCAACTTTTTGCAGAAGTCACCATGCTGATTTGCCAAAACCCTGAGCCAGTTTGGGTGCTTGTAGCTCTGTGTAGGTGAGTCTGTGGGGTTGTAGGTGAGTCTGTGGGGTTATAGGTGAGTCTGTGGGGTCACAGGTGCTGTGGAAAGCAGGACCCTGGTGAGCTGCGCTCCTAGCTGAGCACCTAATGGGAAAGGTCTCTCCAGAATTGGTGGTGCCCAGTGGTGTCAGTTTATTTGAATTCTACAGAGGCTGTTCCTGCAAATACCCTGATCATTAGAAGTGTCCTGGTGGGGTTGAGGGAAAAGGGTTGGGAGCAGCCAGTGCCAAGGAGACTTTAATCTCCCTTTGGGGGGATGCTAAAGAGACTAAAAATGAAACCCACAGAACCCCACTGTGCCATGGACACCCTTCACTCAGATGCACTGCAGCTTTCAGGAGTAATGAGGGTTTTGGGGCAAAATCATCTTCCTGATTGTTAGGGACTTCCAGTAACTCTATCTGATGATGATAGAAGTTTTTTGGAAAGCAGTGAGGTAGAATAATATATGTCTGGCTAGAGTGAATAAAAGCCACTGTTTTTTTTTTAAGATAAAGAACAGTAATTTACTTCAAAGGTATGTTTAAAAAATTCATCCCTATAAGGAGTTCTCAAAAGAATTTTGATTATATGCTTTGAAGTTTGCCTAAAATTTTTGCAGAAAAATGATCTTCAAGCCTGGTGTGATGGTGCCTGTGGCCTAGCTACTGAAGAGGCTGAGGCAGGAGGATCACTTAAGGCCAAGTGTTTGAGGCCAGCCTTGGCAACATAATGAGATTCTGTTTCAAAACAAACAAATAACAAAAACTTCAAGTCAAAATTTTCTCCAATCCCACTTCTGCCTTTTTCTGACACTAATTCACCTCGGTTGTGATTTCTTCGTATATTATATTCCCAGATGCATTTTTTTCAAATTAACTTTTTTGGAAGTGTGTCTTGGTTGGCACACCTGTTTCTAAGCAGCTAGGAAATGAGAAGCTCTAGATATGAAAGTTGATTCTTCTTGGGATATTTGCTTCTGTAACATGCAGACTTCCTCCTTAACACTTCCCAATGGGAACATGGAATGTCTCATTTCTGAGTCATATCTGGCTAGATGTCATATCTGGGTGACTGAAATGGTTTAGTTTTAAAGTAATCAACTAGAGTGGTATTTTTTAAAAGAAAATAAAACAACAACACACACGTGATGACAAGGTGGAAGGAAAAATGTAGTTCCAATGCATACTTTTGCCTAAATAATATTGACTCAATATTATTGATTTACTAAAAAATCCCCTATAGCACACCTTGTCTTCTTTATGTGAAGTAATTGTAGCAGTTCCATGTTGCTAGGTGTTGTCTTAATAATACCTTGCTGCAGTCAAAGGATGTACAAGATAAAATCTAAGATTAAAAAGAAATGTTCCTTATTCTTTTTGATGGTTGCCTAAAGCTGTGTGTTCCTTAAATTCTCAAATGAACTTTTATAGGGATGAGGGGAAATGCGTAGAAGGAATTCTGGAGATCTTTGACATGCTCCTGGCAACGACTTCAAGGTTTCGTGAGTTGAAACTCCAGCACAAAGAGTATCTCTGTGTCAAGGCCATGATCCTCCTCAACTCCAGTAAGTAACCCCCGCAGCTGGGCTGTGTTTGTGGAGAGAGATGGCATGGCAAAAGAACAGTATTAAACTTGTGTTTGATTTTAAAAGGGGACAACAGCTTCCTTTGGGACTTCTCTGTTTYTTTTTTTTTTGTAGGGATTTAAACTGTAGTTAACTTTTGGTAACTTGAGTATAAATTATTCATCGGGTGAACTCCTGGGAGTTGATTTAAAAAGTAGCTCAAGCCATTTACTGGAAAAGAAAAAGAAATGAACTTTAAAGTGTTTCCCTATCAGCCTTTTTGCAAAGCTCCGACAGACATTTTACAGGGTTGATGTGCATCTATAGTTAATGTTTTTGGGCTTCTACTTTTACAGATTCATGCATTCATTTGTTCATTTAGTAAAGACACTTAGGAAACAGTCCTGCCCTTAAATAGCTCATAGTGTAGGGAGGAAGGAAGTAAACTATGAAAACTCATAATCTCAGTGCTGTACTTGAGTGTGTGTGGAGTAGAGCAGGAGAACAGGAGGAGAGATTCAAGAGAGGCTACCAAAGCAAAGACGTCTGTGGAAGAGCAGAGGGGGGTTGCCTAAGGCTGCAGACTGCGAATTGAAGGTTACGAATGGTTTCCTTGGGCACTGAGCAGCCAAGAGGTTCAGAAGGGGACAGTTGTGCATGGAAGCGTGTTATAGCAAGGTCACTCCCATTTCCAGGTGGAGGACTCCCTGGAGAGGAAGAGACTGAGGCAGGGGTCCTGTTAGAGACACTGTGAACTTGAACCAGTTTGGTATAATGGGATCAGGCGATGGATCAGGCTTCAGAGGTGGGACACAAGGAAGATATCTAAGATGTGTGGATGGTTTAACTTTGCTGGCTTTAAAAATTATACCAATAATTCCTGGTTATTGTGAACATTCAAACAAAAAGAAGAGTTTAAAAATTACTAGGAATACCCCTCTTGAAGACAACCACCATAACTTTGGTGACCGTAGTTAATAGTGTTTGTGCTTGCTTGTTCTCTATCTAGTTCTCTTTCTCCTGTTGTCCTTGGGTATCCATGGGGGTCTTAGTTCCAGGATCCCCTGTAGGTATAAAAAAAATCTATGGATGGCTCAAGTTTTTATACAAAATGATATAGTATTTGCATATTCCCTATGTATATTCTTTCATATACTTTATTTTTAAATTACTTATCATATATAAAATGCTATGTATATAATTTTTGAATTATATAATTTAGGGAATAATGACCAAAATAGTCTGTATGTGTTGAGTACAGATTCAGTCTTTGTTCCTGAATGTTTTTGATCCATAGCTAGTTGAATCTGTGGATTGGAATACTGGATACAGAGGGTCAGCTGTATATATTGATAGAATCATACACAAATACACAAATGTGTGGTATGTTATGTTCAAAATTATGGGTGCTTTGAAATAGACTAATTTCAGTCTTAATTTTGTTGTTTGGCCCTCAATGTTCCTATCCAAAATCAAGTAGCCAACATTTTGAGACCAGGTCTTACAAAGTTGCTAGGTATCTTACTGAGTTTCTAAGACTGGCCTCAAACTAGTGATCCTCCTGCCTCAGCCTCCCTAGTCACTGGGATTACAGGTGTGCATCACTGAGCCCAGCTCCAGGTAGTTGATCTTAACAGCCAAATGATAGCTTTCCTACCTTCTTTCATCCTCTGGTGGTTAACATACTACCTTAACATACTACCTTACCACTAATATACACAGTCAGGCTTTTATTTTTTTCATTTTAAAAAAACATTGGGCCACTACACACAAATCTCTGTGTCTTGCCTTTTTACTTTTCAAAGTGCTGTGAAATTCCTCCAGGTCAGCTCAGAGAGATCTCATTCAATCTTTGAAATCAGGACATTTCACAGGGCAGTGTTCAGCCATTTCCCTATTGATGTGCCTTTACTTCATATCCAGTTCCTTTWAAAAATCACTATAAACATTACCTTAGTAAATAAAGATATGTTATTTTGTACACATTTCTACATTTCTAGGTTCTTGTCATACTGCTCAGCTTACTCTCTGTTTGGTGTTCATCCAGCCTCCATATCAGGTATTGATTGTTTGCTTAGCCATTGTTTACTTATTTGTTTATTTTGAAAGTACCGGGGATTGACCCCAGGGCCTCACACATGCTAGGCAAGCACTCTACCACTGAGCTACACCGTGGCCCTTTTTATTCTTTATTTTAAGAGAGAATTTAGCTAAGTTTCCCAGGCTGGTCTCAAACTTGCAAACCTCCTGCCTCAGCCTCCCAAGTAGCTGTAATTAATTATAGGCATACACCTTTGCCTAGCACTTAGCCATTTATTCTTTTTKGGCTTTTTAGGTTATTGATTTTTTTTCTGACATGTTATATATACATAGAATTTTAAATGTAGTCATATAATTTGTATGATTTTATGTATTTGTAATTTATATTTATTTTTATATATTATATATGTTTATATATTTATGATTTTATAATATTTATACTTATAATTTTAGATTTACATTTGTATAACTTGCATAAACCATATATATTCACACAATTATTCTGTTGCTTGCTATAAAGTTTCTAGAAGCTTATATTCAATGTCTGCTTTTCTCTTTGTGGCCTGCTAACAGTCTTACTTTGAGTAGCTCTGGAGAGAGCACAGAATGCTGTCCAGGAGACGGTTGGGTCTGGGTGGAAGGTGGGTTAGGCCTCACAGCAGAGGGGCACAGAGGAATGAAGAAGGGATCCAAAGGTACAGAGACCCTGAAGACAACCCTTGAGTATGTACCAGTTGGGTCTCTGTGTGACCTCACCTTCCTAACAGGACACTACCCTACATCCAACACCCCTCCCATTTATTGTTACCATTCATAAATTTTTCTAAAATAGTAGATGATTGGTGATTAATAATTCCTAATTGGGGCTGGGGCTGTAGCTCAGTGGCAAGCACTTGCCTGGCACATGTGAGGCACTGGGTTCGATCCTCAGCACCACATTAAAAAAAAAATCCTAATTGATGGTTAAGTTAATGTGCATATGGGCAAATTTCCAACAGGACATATAAAATTGATCAGGGAAGAAAATCAACTTTTTCTTGCTCTTTTTTTCCAACCTGCCTATAGACGTTTACTTCACATGTTTGCTGCCATTTCTGTCTTTGTTAAAAGAGTGAATCTGCTTAAAAAGTATGTTCCCATCTCATCAATGGAAGGACATCAAATGCCAGATTATGGGGTTCCTCTTACTTTCAGAAATAATTCAGAACTCGTTTCTGTGTTGCAAAGTGCTCCTTGGAAAGCAGTTTGCTTGTTGTTACAACGCTTTACTGTAAAAAGCCTTCTCTTTGGCAAGGCTCCTTCTAGTCATTTGAGACTCCGAGACATCATATTGTGTTGTTGTCAAAGCTAAAAGCAGCATCTGTGCAGATGGGGAACACGAAGGCAAGTGCGCTCCTCCTGCGAGATCTGACAAAACCACATGGTAAGAGAACCACAGAAGGCAAGTGAGGCAATTACCACTTGTGACAGTAAATGACTAAAATTTGTTTATGGTAAATCCAAATGAAAAAATTCTCCAGCAAGAAAGTTGCTTGCTTGGTAGTCATAACAGTTGTCAAATGAATTTATGTGGTTCAACATTGCTCGGAGGAGAATGGGATTCTGTTTCTATTGGAAATTTTCCTACTGTTGAGAAAGGGGGGTCTTTTGTATGCCAGATTTTAAGGATTTGCAAGAACAGACTTTTTTCTTCTGGATTATTTGTAGCACTTAAATTGGAAACAAAAGCAATGCCCCCCAGCCCGCAAAAAAAGCAGGTGTGGAACCTACTGCCCCAATATTAAATACAAATCCATGACAGAATATATAAACAGACATTGGACAAACAGACCATGCAGGACAGTGAGCCCTAAGAGAAGGGATATAACAAGGTGACACTAGTTGTCTGTCTACTGCATGGAAGCAGTTTCTAGGTTGCAATGCAAGGAAGTATATTAGGTTTCAACAAAGAAACAGAATCAATAGGATGCATGGACAGATATTGATGTGATATGCAAAAGTGGATTTATCATGAAAATTGGCTCAAGGGATTATGAGAAGTGTCATGTGTGCCATCTGCAAGCCAGAGACCAGGGAAACTGGTAGCCTGGCTCTGTCCAAAGGTCTAAGAACCAATAGCAGCGATGGTGCAACTCACAGTCCAATGCCAAAGGCCTGAGAAACTAGGAGACCACTGGGGCAAGGCCCAGAGTCCAAAGCCTGGATAACTTGGAGTTCTGATGTCCAAGAGCAGGAGAAGTTGGATGTCCCAGATCTGGGAGACAGGATAGGGAAGGGAGGGAAAAAGGGAAGTGAGGAGGAAGAAAGGGAGGAATTAATTTGCCTTTAGTCTGCCATTTTGCTCTCTCTGGGCCCTCTGCCCAGGATGGGACCTGCCCACATTGGTAGGGGCAGATCTTCCTTACTCAGCCCCCTGATTCAAATGCCACTGTTATCTGGAAGCACTCTCAGACATACCTAGAAATAATGCTTTGCCAGCTGTTCAGTATTCCTTAATGCAATTGACACCTGTAATGGTTAATTTGAATTGTCAACCTGATTGGATTAAGAGATGCCAATGACAGGCAGCACTGTCAATAGGATGATGGCTTGGATGGAATAAAAGTTGGAAGAACAAGGAAGCAGCAGCAGATGTAAGCTTGGTTCTTCTTGAACAGGTTCTTGATTGCTGCTGCGATCATCTGAGGATATTGAACTCTTGATTCTTTCCTTTTTGGAACTGGACTCTGCCAGTGATTCTCCAGAAACCTTCGGTCTTGGAATGGGGTAGCACCATTGGTCCCTCTTGTTCTGGGGCTTCAGCCTGTTGGACTGCGCAGCTGCTGGTTCTTCCAGTTCTCTAGCCTGCAGATGGCCATTGTGGACTATCTAGCTTCTGGCTGCATAAAACAACCTGATAAGTCCCCTTTTTATAATTATATTTCCTGTTGATTCTGTTCTTCTAGAGAACCCTAATACAA